CGCAGCGCACGCACTTAACCACCAAGCCACAGGGCCGGCCCATATTACTCTCATTTTAAAGATGACAAAACTGAGGCTTAGAGAGATGAAATATCTTGCCCAAGGCCACAGAGCCCGTAAAGTGGCACAGCTAGGACTCAAACTCTGATCAGTGTTGTTCCAAAGCTCAATTTATTTTCACTACATGGTACTGCCTCCAAAGAACCCACACATATCAGAGGGGCAAGGAGACAGAAAGGAAGAATAAGGCAAGAAACAAACCAAGAAAGGAAATGGTTTAGTTCTTTGGAACTATTTGACTTTATTGAGTATATTAATTTCCTAGGGCTGCCTAACAAAGTATCGCACACTGGGTGGCTTAAAACAACAGAAATGTATTCTCTCACAGTTCTGGAGGCTGCAAGTCTGAAATCAGTTGTGAAATCAATGTGTCTGCAAGGCAATGCCTGCTGGGAAGGCTCTAGGGGAGGGTCTTTCCTTGACTCTTCCAACTTCTGGTAACCCCCGGCACATCTTGGCTAGTGGCAGCATAAATCCAGTCCAATCTCAGCCTCCATCTTCACGTGGTCTTCTTCCCTCTATGCCTGTTTCTGTGTCCAAATTTCCCTCTTCTTAAAAGGACACCAGTCCTATTAGATTTAGCACCTATCCTAACCCAGTATGACTTCATCTTAACTAATTACATCTGCAAAGACCCTATATCCAAATAATGTCACATTCTGAGGTTCTGGGTGGACAAGAATTGGGGGGGAGGGGCACTATCCAACTTAGTATACTGGGGCACAAACGTTTTCTCATTTGAGAAATGGAGATAATAACAATACCTACTTCGTGATAGTGTTCATATAAGACAAATAAATTCATATAAGACTAAAGTACTTAGAACAGTACCTGGCACATGACAAGAGCTGTATAAATGTTAGTTATTATTGTTAGTAGTTGTAGTAGTATTAAGAGTAACAGGAAGTGAGCACAGGTCTCTGACTCAAGACCAGAGTCCTTAGGATTGAGAGCCTTCACAGACAGGTTCTAGGCCCTAAACACCCAAGCACAGAGGCTTTGAATTGGGTCCAGCATTATTCTCAGGGCACAACATTCATTCTCTATGGGAGAGGTCGGCAGGCTACAAACGCGGGAAACGAGGAATGAAAGTTACAGCCTGGCTTGAACACATACAAGACCCCGCCTAGGGGCGCGAGGGGCGGCCCGAGCGGGCTCTGAGCTGGGCAGGGTGGACGAGCGGTCAGAGGACCGAGGCCGGCCGGGCAGAGAGAAGGAAGAGCCGGGGGCCGAGGGCGGAGGTGGGAAGGTGAGGGGCGGCGAGCCGCCGCAGGCCCCGCCCCCGCCGGAACCAACTCACCCCTTGCCGCCGACCCCGCCGGGCTTCGGCCGCTTTTTGCGACGCTTGCGACCGGACTCAGGGCCCCCATCGACGCCGGCATCGGCCCCAGACAAGTAGCGCTTCAGATACTCGGCCTTGGAGAGCGGCGGAGCTGCCGCCATGGCAGCGGCCTGGGAGGGGAGACGGCTCGGCGCTGGGGCCAAAATTCCTGAACGCAAAACGGACGGCGGTGACGGGAAGGCGGGGCCAGGACCGGAAGTCGCGGAGTGTGTCTGGGACTACCCGGGCTGACAGGTGAGTTTTTGCGGGCGTACGAGGAACGTGCACGCCTCCGGCGCCCACTCTACGTCCCTCAGGCGGCGTAACCCTATTTCTTCTGTCTGTCCATCCATCGGCTCATTCAGCAGACTATGCAGCAAATGCTGTTGTGGCCGTGAGGCTACAACCACGACCCAAACAAGATCCCCGCCCCAGCAGCTTCAGAAGGACTGTAGTGTAGTAGTTAAGAACATAAGCTCTGGAGTTGCAGTGTATCCAAGTTTGAGTTCTGGTTCCATAACTTCCTAGCTGCACGACCTTGGGCAAGCTATTTAACAAAATAGGGATAATGCACCTAACTCAATGGTTGCGAGGACTGAGATAATATTACTATGTAAAGTGCTTACTTAGAACTATGCCTGGCACATAGTATATATATGTTAGTTATTTTTATTAGTCTAAGTATGTTTAGCGGGGGAGGAATCTGCTTTAATAGGCTTCCAGGTACCATTCAAGAGAGGCAGTCAGGGGCTGGCCCTGTGGCGTAGCGGTTAAGTGCGCGCCCTCCGTTGCTGGCGGCCCGGGGTTCGGACCTCCGGCACGCACAGACGTACCGCTTGTCAGGTCATGCTGAGGCCGCGTCCCACGTACAGCAACTAGAAGGATGTGCAACTATCTACTGGCGCTTTGGGGGGAAAAATAAATAAAATTACTAAAAAAAAAAAGTCAGAAATTCCAAACCCAATATAATTACTATGAGAAATGTGGAGGTTTCTAACCTGTGTAACTTCCCCACGTCTGATATTATTGGTGGCCCCTAGCTATCTCTTGTGTAGAATCTTTCCAGTGAAAAGGATCTGGATCTCTTTTCAGCATAGCAAAAGAGGGAAGCTAGAGAGATTGAATTCTAATACTCAGGTTTTGGGGAAAAGGAAAGACTTTTCTTCTTGTGAGCATTAAGAGCTTTACTTGCATTATCGCATTTAACACTCACAATCCTCAGTTTTATCCTTCTTTTACAGATGAGAAAACTGAAGCTTGGAGAGGTTAAGGAAGCTGCCCAACTCCACATGACTCTTGGGAGCAGTGGGGTTGCAACAGGTAATCCAAATTTTTTTAAATAAAATGTTATTTTTATCTCATCATGTAGAAGTTCAATTTTTCTTGCTGCTTTAAAGTTTATTAGTCAAGAAGGCATTATCATTCTTCATAAATAAATACACATATCTTGAAATACATGTTCAAAGACGTACAACATAACAGGTTTGGAGATCACTGCCCTGAAGCATGAACTTTTAACCCCTGGGCTATACTGAGTGGTCACATTACAGGCCCAGATAGGAAAGCAGGCTGGGTCTCTGAGAGCTTGTGAGAAGGGGACCCTGGGCCAAGATAGGGCTTCACTAGCTGGAGAGCCCCACGGGCCCCCTATACACAATCCTGCCTGGGCTTCTAGTCCACTTTGGTGCATCTCTAACTGAAGTCCTCAGCCCTGCGGATAACAAGCACTGGCTGTTTTCTCTTCACAAGTGAAAACACTGCCGTTTTCCTGTAAAGAGTAGAAGTGTGCAAACATTTTTAAAAATAAGAATGAAGCCAAGCAGTCTTAACCACCACTGCCCTAAATTTAAGCAGAGGCACCATTGACTAAATGACTAAATATGGCTGTATTTAACATGCTTGAAATTATGAAGTAAAAGTGTTCTCACAAATGGACTCTTCTTTCCCCTTCTAATATAATCACAAAACTTGCCACTTAAATTTTATCCTCATGGCTGTGAAACTGAATCTACATGTTCTTGGGCTGGCACTCTCTTTCACTCCCCTGGCCTTAGAGCACGACCCTTCCCATACCTTGTTATCTCTGTGCTACCCCCAGTGCCCTAACAGGGCTTCATCCAGGATGGAGGGTTCACAAGCGTCTGCTGAGGATTATCATGTAACAGATGTTATTAACCATATGCCATGTTAGGGGCTGTGGGGCAAGATGCAGTTAAATAGATGTAGGCACCCACCCCCGACAGGCTGTATGAAATGAGACTGGAGTTGAATGTAAAACTGAAGGCTGCCAGGCCTTGGCCCTGTCAAAGAGGAAGAAGCACCTTAGCTGTGTTATCCCAGTCTGGCACCTCATCCTCAGTCAGTCTTTGAGGATTCAAAAACTCAAGCTATCATTTCCCAATAACTAGTTGGAGTCTGGGAGACTGCCTCACACCAACCAAATTCACAAGACTCAGTAATAAACCAGAGTGCCACTTTTTTCCTTCACAATGGGAGATGAACCTGACACCAGGGGTCATCTTCAGAGCACAACCATCCCATAGGGAAAGCCATTCAAGAGACCAGATGGATCAGAAGGTTGCCTGGTGAACTCAGATTCCCAATCAACTGGAAATACATCTGTGGACAATCTATCAGAGTAGAACATTTGCTTAGAAGTCTATTCAAAGAGTTGTAGCTTTATAGTTTGAGTCATTTGCTAATCTCCAAATTCTTAAAACCCCCTCCTCTTGCCCTCACTTACAGAAGTTAGAGATAGAGGTATAGGAGTCAGTCCCACATGAAAGTAGTAAGATGCCAAAGAATTCAGTATGAAGAGGTGCCTGAAAACAGAACCTATGGAAACAAATACATTTAAGGAAGGAGGAGGAAGCAGAGATTCCAAATAAGGAATGACCCAAGTAAAGGGAAAAGCAGGGATGCAGTATTACAGGAGCCAAGAAAAGGGCTGAGACATCGTCCACTGTCAAATGCGGCAAATAAAGAACATTTCCCAAGTGGAAAATCCCACTTGTGACCTCTGATACTAGTTTAATAGAGTGGTGAGAGTAGATGGGTGTGAGTACTAAGTCATCTGTAACTAGGCAATTCTTCAGAGTTACGTTTGCACACAAAGCACTCAGGCTTCCTGTAGCATGTCAATCAATTAACAGGTCTTTATTGAACAAATACCCTGCAGCCAGCACTGCAGGAGTCGTCAGTGGCGAACACAGCACAGCAAAGAGCACTAGCTGGGGGTTCCAGGGCCCTGGGCTGCAGAAGGCTCACTGGGTCCTTAACTTCCTACCCACCTGTAGGCTGCGCCTCCCTCTCTGGTTGAACCTGTTTCCCCATTTCTAATTGAGGGACTAGATGATCTCACATACCCCCACTGGCTCTAACAGCCTCCCACCTCAGAGCTTTTGCATTTGCAGTTCCCTCTGCCTGGAAATCTCCTCCCCCAGCTATCCACATGGCTTACTCCCTGACCTCCTTCTCAGCTTTGCCTATATGTCCAATTATCACCTTGTTAAGATCTTCCCTGACTACTCTATTTGCAACACACGCCCCACCTTCCCTGGCACTGTCCATACCCCTTCCCTGCTTTCATTCCTCCATAACACTAACCACCATCTGACAGACTGTTTCACCTGTCAGTTTGCTGTCAGTTTGCCCCCCTAGACTTTAAGCTCCATGAAAGCAGTTTTGTTTTGTTCATTGTTCTGTGGTGTGCCTGGCACAAAGGAAGCACTCACACATCTGCTGAAGGAAGGAATGAAACACTAGCACCAATCCCCAAATTACAGTGGCCACATTAGAGAAAATTTTCTTCAGGAGGTTGAATTCTACCAGCATGATATCAAACACTGGGCAGAGTGAATTCAGAGGCCAGTACTGTTTGAAAGCCACCATTTTAATGACAACTTCTTCACCTGTGCTGGACTCCCTCCCCTCAGAAGACTCCTTTCCTGCTGAAAGTCTGTATTTTATATACCCAAAGCCAACCCCCAAACTCCAGCTGTAGCTCTCTTCCACCTTGTACAACTTCAGAGTTCCAACCCTAGAGGAGAGAGTGTTGTATGGAAGGAGGGTAAAGATTGACAGGAACAAAGTGATAACGACAGGCCCCATGGTTCATTTTCCGGCTTTCTTCCCAAACTGTTTCAAAACCTCCAAAATAAGGTCAAATAACACAATAGGCTTGCACTGGCATCACAAACTGTTTAGAAAGTGTGCGTAGATCTCCAATTCAGACCAGGTGCCCTCCCCGCAAGGGCGAGGCCTGGTGGGGAGGACACTCCCAGTCTTTCCCAATAGTAATAAATAACCCTGCAGTCTGAGCAGCACCGGAGGCTGGCCGGGAACGGCCCACTGCTACCGCTGTGGGGCCAGGCCTGTCTCATAGCCCTCCGTCTTCATATCATTGAGCCCAAGCTCCTCGTTTTGGTCAAATGTGCGCTTATAACGCTCCACCTTCATCTCAGGATCATCTTCAGGTGCATACACATTCTGCAAGGCCGACAACAGATGATCAGTGCCTGTGCCATCCTGCTATCCTCCCTCCCCCAGGTGGCTTCCAACTGCCGCTTTCCCAGGAACTCAATGAGTTTTTTTACTCTCCAAGTACCTCCAATTCCCCATGGCTAGGCGCAACTGGTGGGCAGCAACAGAGCCCAGATGGGCTGGAATGGAACAGTCCAGCCCCAGGCAGAATTAGGGAACAGTCTGCCTAAAACACTGTCTATCTGCACCTTCTTATGCGAGGATAGCAATAGGCTTAATCATGCAGAGACCTTAGGAACCATTTTGCCTGACCTACAATAACTGCTCAATAAATGTTAAAGTTGCTATCAATCACCAGAAAAGCTCCCTAGTCAGCTTAAAGCCTTTCAGTTTTCCTACCTTGGCCCCTGGACAAGGCACCATTTCCCCTCACTCCACAATGAGATTTGCAGAATGAAAACTCCATTGCTGGACATGGAGCTGGGGACAAAGCTAGACTCAAGGAAGAAGGAGCCTAGGAGTATCCTTCTTTCCCTCTTGCCACACACTTACAATCCCTCCCACCTTCCCCCTTTCTCCTTTATGTTCCAACTTCTGCTAAGAGGTTCCCTGATGAAGAGCAGTTCATTTAGAACTAAGTCTCTCAGTTTCTGGGGAAATAATACATATTCAAGGAAGGTCAGAAAATGTATCAGAAATATCAGGGAAGGTCTACTGTACCTGCAAGTAGCTGTTTCCTGCTGGATCGTTCATAATAAAGTGGACTTTCATGTTACCCTCAAGGATCTAAAGGAGAGAGAATACCGTATGTAAGTTTTACACAGCTCCCGGTAGGAAAAGGCCATGTCATGCCAGAGGACAACCAACACGATTTGCGTTGCAGAATGCCCAAAAGTTTCAAGAACTGATGAAATGAGGTACCTCTACAAATGGAGTGGAGAGGATTAAAATAAGGACTGTCTGAAAGCTATTTAAGAAACAATTTGACATCCCTGATCTCATCTCCCATTCCAAACAAGCCAATGATTAGATTTCCCTTCCCCCATCCCAGCAGAAGACAGAAGGATTCTGTGGACCAGTTACCACATCGGCTATGGACTAAAGGACTTTGGCCCAGCTGACGGCAGAGGGAAAAGAATCAAGAACAGGTTAAGTGGATGTATGCTTCCTGGAAACAGACATATACACACCCCAGCCCTCTTCCCACGCTCAGCTCTCAGAAGACTGCCAGCCAAGCCTTCATCCTCAGACCAGGAAATGGAACACCCACTGATGGGAAGCTGACCAGCCCAAGAGGAAAGACCTAACAACTCTGGCATTGGGGCTACCTCAACAAAACGGGTAACCCAAAACCCCCTAAAATGAGCCCAATGTCAACAAGACTCACCCCCACTCAGGTTTTTTGGTCCTCTACTTTTAAACAGACAATCAATGATTACCAGACGTCGGAACAAAGTCCCTAACGTTGAAACACAGAAAATTAAATGGAAAAAAACAACGCAGAGGAAATAGAAACTATGCAAGGAAAATAAAATGTAAAAAAAATTAATATTCTAAAGAAAAAAAATTCTACATCCTTAAAACAACAGGATGCTACTTTAAAAAAAAAGGCAGAGGGAGAGTATTCAAAGACTAAAAAAAGTTCTTGGAAAATAAAAATATGTTAGTGGAAATGAAAAACTCAATTGAGGGTTGGAAAATAGTCAAGGCAACCTCCCAGAGTAGAGCAAACACAAAGAAACTGAAAACTGGACAAAGAATAAGTAAATTACAGAAGACCAGACAAGTCAGTCTAATATCCAAAACACAGGGGTTTCAGAAAGAACAGAGAGGAAGCAATCCTCCATAGAATAATTTCAAAAAGCTTCCTAGAACTGAGCCACATGAGTTTCCAGTTCAGAGGACCCACCAAGTGCTTAGCACAGTGGTTGAAAACTGACCTACACCAAGGCACATCCTGAAATTTCACATCACAGGACACAAAAAGGTATCACAAGAATAGGTCAGTACAAAAGATCAGGAATCAGAATGCCTTCAGACTTCTCAATAGTCAAACTAGAAACTGGGAGACATTAGTGCAGTCTTCATAATTCTGATGAAAAATTATTTCCATCCTAGAATTCTATCCCCAGCCATTAATCAATCTAGTGTGAGGGTAGAATAAATCAATTTTCAGACATGCAAGGTCCCAGAAATGTTACTTCTCAGAAAGCTACTGGAGAAGATGCTCCAACAAAATAAGGGAGAAAACCGAGAAAGATGACATGGGACATGAGAAACCAAGAGAATCCCAACATGTTGGTTAGATGTTTAAAAGGTAGCAAGAAAGAATATGGGGCCTCCTGTTCACTGGAGCCCCAGGACCACAAGTACTGACCGGCCAGAGTCTTCTCACCTGGTCCAACTTCTGGCTAAACTCCTGCAGTTTCTCCGTCTGGCCAGGATTAGAACTGTCACCCAGTGTGAAAGGGTTCTTGGTCACCTGCAATAAATGGCATCCAAACTGCTAGAATACTGGCTCTATGTTTGCTAGGCGAGACCATAAACCTGGCAGGTGCCCCGTCAGGGAAGCTGGGTCTCCACTGATCCCACACCACCTTTCCAACCTAGGCAGCCACTCCTAAGGATATACGGATTAATCTGCCAAGCCAACAACTGGAAATGTGAAACAAAAACTATGAAAACATTCTCACAATATGAGCTGTAGTCCTAATTTGAAGAAATGCAAAGTAAAATATAATTTACAATGACAAAATGCCTGACAACTGAGAATCAGTTAAGTGAAATGATTCATCAAGACGATAAAAATGGGCTAAGTCAACACACATATATATATATATTGGGGAGTTTTAGATGCTGCAAGGACCCTCATCCCCTCATTTTACAGTGAAATAAATGACTTACCCAAAACCGCAAAATATCTACCTTGTCCCAGAATAAGGCCCGGGAATTTCCATTCAGAATTTCCCAATAACTTATCTTCACAATCCAAAATAATATTTAAGTCTCTTAAATCAGCTTTAAGGCAAAGAAACCCCCAGTTATCAGCTCTAAAGACTAGGACATTCGAGGTCTTCTGGCCCCTTCCTCAGAGCCACACTGCTGAAGCAGCTGCGCACTCTGTCGGGGGACTCACCAGTTCCCGGATATCTTTCAGCAGCCCCTCCAGTGTGGTGAACTTGCCCCCGAGGACAGCCATTCCCAGTTCAAATTCCAGCTCTGGAATTTCCACACTACACGTCTCAGACTGCGAGATGAGAGGTCAAATTAGGCTTTAAATCAGGAGCTATTAGAGAAAGCTACCCAGAGTCTTCCTACCAAATTAATGCCACCAGTGACAATCTGGGGACCAAATCAGCTGTCCCAGTTTTCTCTGACTCTCCAGTTAAAGCTAGACTCACTCTTATCCATGTGAACCACAGGAACAGAACCAACCTAATAAAGGGACACTCTGAGTCATGGCTCCAGGCTGTCACGTATCCTATCATTAGACGCCAGAGGCGAGGGCCCTTACAGACACTGGAGGCGAAAAGCTGCCAAGTCATCAGAAAGAGCATATGGGGTCACCTTCTGAATCTGCACTGCCTACCATGGACTAACTCTGCTCAGGGGTCCACAAACCCAGGGAAGTAAGGAGGTACCTCATGACCCCAGGACATAATTTAAAAAGACAATTTCCCCTAGAGACAGGTGTGTGACGAGGACAGTCACTTCCCCAAGCAGGCTGTTACCTTGAGCAGGTCTCTGGTCATATCTGAGAGATCTGTGATGTGGAAGGTGATCCTGGTGCCCAAGGGCTCTACCGCTCCTCCAGATTTCACCTGCATAGATGACAGGAGTCAGGAGCAGCAGCAGAGAAGATACAATCCTCACCTGGTGAGACCTCCAGTCAGGCACACTAAAGGCTACCAAAGACAGAGCCTTCTAAACCAATAGTGGCAGCAGTCATCCAAACCAAAAACACCAACAGCTGGCCAAGAGTAGAGAACCCAGCACCAGTACCCTGCCAAAACTCAGCCCAAATTGCCAAGAAACTCTGAATTTACCTTTAAAAAAATTGACTCTTGGGGTTTAAAGGGACTTTCAACTGCATCCAATGTGTGGATCCCCTTTACAATATTCTGGTGTAAGAATTTAAACAGCTTAAGCTTGAAAACACTCAGGGAAAGGGAATTTACAACCCTCCAAGGCAGCCCATTCTATTTTCAGAAAGAAACTAGAAAGTTTTTATTCTTGAGTCAAAATCTGCCTCTCTGTACTTCCACTCCTGAGGGGTGGGTCTCTCTCTTCCATATAACCAACATTTAGTATGCCTTAAACAAGTTATGAGGCCTCTTTTCTAAGCTAATTCCCAGATCCTTCAAGGGCTCCACATCCTACACTAAGCCTAAAAGAAAGACCCAGCCCCCTTCTTCCTCATCCCAAAAGAGGTCTAGGAAGGATGACAGTTAGACAGGGGTTACTCTCAAGCTAGTCTTCTTGCCAAACGATGGCGCGCACCCACCTCATTGGTCCGATGGCCACAGTTCTCACAGTTGGTAGCCATGATGATAACCTCCTTAAAGTGGGGGATTTCTGCAAGATGGAGTTAAGGAAATCTGCTTCCAGGATAGCAAGACCACCCTCTGGGGAAGAACAAATCCAAACCCAAAAAAAACAGCTGCTGGTCCCAGGACTGCAGGATCATGAGAAACAGCCTCAGATGGTCCTCCAGAAGAGGACAAGGTCACAACCCATGGTAATCTCTGTTCACAAATATTCGAAGACATTGCTCAGGCCACACACAGGAGCCTAGAGACCATGGCCTAATTCTCTCTTTGAACCCAAAAGCCAAGGTGCACAGTCTCATCAGAGTCAACATCCTCCTCATGGCACGGAATGAAATGTGCTTTCCCTGAAGGGAGTAACCCCACCACGAATATAATCTTCATGCCCGAGTCAGATGAAGAGCAACCCAAGTGCCCGACAAAAGATACGAACTAGCTTCATGTTGGTCTGGGCCGGAGCATTGCATTCCGGGCAGTTTGTGTTGAACTGGAGCACCTGGAACACAACATGGGGACGTATGGTGAGCCCTCCCAGGTGGGTGAGCTCTGCTCAGCCTAAAGACATTCAGCTGGTATGCTGGTGGTCGCCCGTGTTGGTGGTGAGGAAGTGACACTGAAAGGCGTCAGTCTCAGCCCACAACTGTCCTCCTTCCTCCACAGCAGCCAATGTGACTCACTTCGTTTCTGAGATCTTCCTCTTCTGGCTTCTCTTCTGGTGCCTCTGCCTAAAGCAGCACAGATGCAAGTCACATGTTGGCATATATACCTCAGCCTCCCCAACACCCTGCCCTGGAAGGAGAGAAGATGCTCTGGCTTGTTTATGTCGGCTGCCACCACCTCATGGGTTTAACAAAGAAGCTAAAAAGCAAAGGCCCAATCAGGAGAAGAACAGAGCTTAAGACAGGATCATAGCCCCTGCCATCCTTTATTGTAAAGTTTACCCTAAGTCCTTGATATGAGCTAGATGAGAGGCTCAGACATGCTGAGAAAGGGTACACAGGGCAGCAGCAGCAAAATAAATTTCCACTGACTCCAAGCAACCCAGAATGCAAGATAATTCCAGAGCATTCTTCTGGCTTCTTCAGTCCACCTACCTGGAGCCCCAGCATCTCTTCCTGCTGCAGAGTCCGGTTATAGTGTATGATCACCAGGGCATCATCTTTCCGGGGAGCATGGGGGTTTTCCACAAAGCTGTTCCCTGAAGGATCATCAATGATCTAACAGGTGCATGAGGAGAGTAATTACAAGAAGAAATCACGTACGATCCTCCACCTACCATCAGACCACCCAGGCACCACAATGGAAAAATCCCAGACAGTCTTAATGATCTCTCCTCCCCTAAATCTAGGGCACCTGGAGTCCATCAGTACTCACCAGAGTGAAAGGAGAGGCCACTTGCTTTAGCTCTTTCAGTTTGACAATGAACTCATCAATTCTTTCAGCTACGGCTTCTTCCTTTGCCTGACATGAATAGAGAGTAAAAGCATCAACCCTGGTGATAGACCTTATGCCCCTACTCCCTTTCATGCCCATGTCACTTCCATCAGGAAGCCACCACCTGTCTTAGTGTGAGTGGGAACAGGGAGACTCAGACTTCACAGTAAGATGTAGCAAATAAATTTGAAATTTACAGGTGGTGCCAGGTAAGCCTCATTTCTCCCTCATCCAATCATTTAGTCCAGGCATTCATGCCAGGTTAGAGATACATCAGTAAATAAATCAGAGCCAGTTAGGAAAACAGATGACTAAATATGCAACTATATTCTTCCTGTCATAATAACCATAAGATACGATAGAACACTCAGGAAACACAGATAAACCCAAGGGGATTAGAAAAGGCTCCTCAGAGGTAATGTTACGTTATCTGTCTGAGAGGGGGAGGGAAGTGGAAAGGACAGTAGGCACAACATATGCCACACCCTGGCAGCCACAGCATCACCGTGCTTCCCCCGAAAGTTCTCCAGCATTCAGTCAGGGACAGTTCGGCTACATGGGAAACTACACACTCTACTCAGACTTATACTACTTATAATAATATAAGTAACTATTCCTTGAGCTGCTGCAATCAGAACACCCCAGCTCACCCTTCGTGTGGGCTGATCCTGCTCCAGGCCAGAGATAGCACGGGTGATCAAGCCTTCAACAGTGGTCAGAGCTAGTGAACGAGAACAAAAGACAGGTGAGTCTTGGCTCTGCTATCAAGCACCTATATGGCCCTGGGAAATTTCACTTGAACTCTCTGGGCCTTGATTTCATCTGTAAAATGAGAAGATCGGGAGCAAGGTTCCAGTCATCTCTAATAATAGCAATGCTAAAATTCTGTAATAAGCACATCACACTCTTACCATCACTGTTTACCATCTCTAGCTGTTTTATCTAAGCTTTCTGCTTATGTTAAACCAATGAAGATCACGATGACTACACAGCCAAAGCCATACACAAGCCCCTAGGCCTGGCACCAGAGATTTTGCATGAAAGAAAGATTCCAGCTAGGCATGAACAGCCCAAATATCCTGATCTTAAACGTACCTCCCTTCTGGCTGAAGGCAGGAATTTCAAAATCAAGCTCTGGGATCCTTGTGGTGGCAGAGTCAGTCTTCACTACTTCTCTGTTCATGTCCTGGACAGAAACAAAAACTTTCAGTCCAGAGAGGTTGGCAATACAGCTTCTCCTCAAGAAATACCAGACTGTCCCCCTCCATCAGACCCTAGCCCAGCTCTTTCTTCCTCTCTCCATTCCAGGGGATCCAGACTACTCCTCCAGAATAGTACATGTGGTGTGAGCCAGGCTGCCCAAATGGTGCGAGTTCAGTTCATAACAAGTGCTGCTCATTTGACACCCTCTGACAAAGCACTTTCACAAGTCTTATCTCACCTGAGCAGATAACAGCACCAATACCATTTTAAAAAGGAGGAAACTGAGATTTGGGCACGAAGGGGGATTTATTCGAGGTCCAGAGCTCTGACTCCAGTCCCCAAGCCTTCTCTAGGCCACTAAGGTACCTGCTCTGGGCACCTCTCACCTCCGGAGCCCTGACGGTCAAAGTGTAGCGCACACCCTGGTCCTGGATTCTGCCTGCCGACTGGATCTCTGTGTTGTTCCAGCCACAGTGCTCGCAGGAAAAGGAGCTCACAATTATTTCTCTGAAGAATGGGATCTTGGTGAGGAGGAGGCGCGTCATGCCCTGGGGAAGCAGAAAGCAGCTAAGGAAAGAACCAACGAAACCCGAGTTGCCCGTCCACTGACCCCCGGGCGTGCCTCGCCTCCGGGTCCCCAACTGGGCCCACCTGGCCGGGTCGTCGACCCCCTGCCCCTCCCCGCCTCAGCCCGACCCTCTCGCCGCCCGCGGCCGCGCCCCCAGCTCACGTCGCGGTAACAGTTCATGCAGAGCGACTCAATCTCGGTAGGCTGCTGCTCCTCGTCCTCGGCGCTGATAGGCCGGAAGAAGTGCCCCGGGGCAGGAGCCCGGGCAGGGGCGGGCGAGGGGACAGCAGTAGCCGCCGGGGGCCCGGGCTCCACAGCCCCGTCGGCCGCCATCTCCCCCACGCGCAGTTCAGGCCTCGACTTCCGGCTTCCGCTCTTCTCGTGGCCCCACCCCTTCCTTAGGCACTTCCGCCAGATGCCGCCACGCCCCCTCTTAAATGGGCCGCAGACTCTGAGCCCTCGGGGAACAGTAGCTGACAAAATTTCTCCGTTGCCGGGGTTACATGGTCCAGGCTTCCATAGCCAGCCGGATTCGGGCTTTGCCTACACCTCGATTCAGGCGTCACTTCTGCCAGGACGTCCTCTCAGACCCAGGGCAGTTTTTTGCTCCTTCGCAATAGCTCCATCGCACAGGGTTCTAACTATTGGTCCACAATTCTGACTGCAAGAGCCTTGCCCACGAGGGGCCTGGCTTGTCCCTTGGTATCCAAGAGGAGGTGCGTTCCGACCTGGGTTTGCTTCGATCCACTGCTGGGCCAGACGCTGCTTCAACCCTAGATCCCCCTCCCTCGGTCCCTCAATCACTCTGCCTTTCTGTTCTTCTCACTCCCTATTTCTGTCCTCAGAAACACCTGCCCAAATTCCAGCCTCAAATACACGACACTCATTTTTACTCTCACCTCCTCATCCCACATCCGACCCCAGCTGACCCACCTCTCCCAGTTTCCTAACCAACAACAACAAAAACACCTTTTTTTTTTTTGTAAACTTTCCTTTCTAGCACCTCCTCTCCCCGGGCATCTCTCTCCCAGTTCTGTTGCTGAACCTAGAGTCTCAGGGAAGAGGCCCAGCCTGCTGGCGTGATGAGGCCAGATTCACATGGGGTCTGTGTTATGAGGGAGTGTGGCAGTGCTGAGAACCCTGTGCATGGTGGGCTGAGCCAGGAGGAAAGGGTGCTGGACAGGGTGTGTTTACACTTTCCTCCTCCCCCCACTTCACCCACTCCCAATTTCAGAGTTCCCAGGGGACCTATGAGGAGCTTTGTTGCCCCCAAGTGAATCTGTATATGGGAAATGGGGAGTTTAAGAGTTTGGGGTTCCCAAGAAGAGAGTCAGTCATAAAAAAAGGCCGTTCAAAATCTTGAACATCAGGATCAAAGGAGACAAGCCACCTCGGGAGCCTGCATTTCATGCACACCATCCTGTGGTAGGCAGGCCAGTGAACAACGCAGGTACAAAGGAGGGGTCTCTAACCCAAGCATGACAGCTGTCATCTAAAGCAGAGCCCAGCCAGAGCCCGTCCCCTCTGACAGACCTGGACTGGGAGGGGGTCAATGAGAAAGAGCAGTGAGGGACTGGAGTAGGTGATGGCTGTGCTTTGGAGCTAGTGGTGAGGCCACTGCTTTCAGACATGGTCCAAATGAGAGTCACTCCAGGCAAATAAGCTTCCATCATAAGCATCTATTTCCTTTGAGTCAGAAGTCTAGACTTCAGCCTGGGAGTCAGGAGGGAGGGGTTCGAGATGGGGAAGGCACACAGTATGCTTGCTCCCCAGAGGGTTTAAGACAGCCCCACAGTTTGGAGAGCTCTGTCAGCTGCTTAGATGTAGAGCCGTGTAGGGCTCTGCTTCCTCCAATCACAACCCCCACCATTCGTACCCACCAGCGTCGGCACCAGCAGGAATATGTACACATGGTCACATGCTTTCCTCATCATATTTTCCTCCTTCCTTCCTTCTCTTCCCCCAACAGAAGCTGTCATGGCAGCCCTAGGGAGAAAAGAGCCCCTCTCTGTGGACCAGCTGTAACAGTGGCCACCAGGCGGCCAGAATTGACCAAAGCCAACCCTGGGATGAAGAAGCACAGGTTTCCAGCACCATGGCAACAGCCTTGCACATAATCACCATAGAATGCCTCTCTCCCTCCCCACTCCCACCATCCTGGAATGGAGCAACTCATGAAGATTCCCAAATGAGCACGGGAAGCCGGGTTTGCAAAGCCTGGTGAATGTAATGCATCCGGATGGGGGAATCGCAGGAGGTTGGATATACTGGGGACAACAGCCCCTTCGGTGGCCTCTCCTATCCTGGGCAGGGCCTTCCACCCTTTGCCCAACAGGCCACAGTCAAGGACCGAGCTATGCTAGGGGCTCAGGTCCTGGGTTCTCCAGAAAAGGAGCCGGGAAGTGGGCCTGGGCAAGTAGACCCTCAGGGTTCTCCCCCATGACCGAGACCATGGTCATGAATGCTGTAGCTGATATCTTCCCACAGGTCGTCGAGACGGGCCTGCAGCTCCCTCCGGGCCTTGCCGCTGTCAGCTTGGAGGAACTCTGGGGCGAAGGCATGGTGGCCTGGTGGGGGCGGCGCCAGCTGCTGCTGGACCTCCTCAGTCTCCTGGTCAATGGCGTGGGTGAAGGCGGCGATCTGCAGGAAGGTGTCGTGGCGGAAAGCCTGGAGTCGCTGGAGAACCTCCTGGGACAGAACCTGGGGGTCCGGGACGGCCCCTTCCTTCGCGCTGTCCGCGCCAGCGCCGGTGCTGGCAAAGGCGCTGAGCTCTGCCCGCAGCCGGTCCAGGTTCTGCTGGATGTGCGCGTGCAGGGCCTTGGCCTTGAGCGTGAGCTTGCGCGAGAGCACCTGCACGCAGCGGCTGAGGCGCGCCGGGCTGGCGGCGGCGTGCGGGGCCACGCTGCGGTGCAGCTCCTGCACGTGGCGCCCGATGCCGGACACCAGGCGCTCGGCGTAGGGGTGGAAGAGCGCCTTGACCCGGTCGGTGTGGTGCGCCACGCGGCTCTGTAGTTCCTGCAGCAGGCCCCCCGCCTCATCCACGCCCCCCAGCAGCTGGGTCTTGGTGTCCTCTCCGACCACGCGCAGCTGCTCCTGCAGCTGCTGTACGCGCAGGGCCACCTGCTCCATCAGCTCCATGGTATAGGGCTTCAGCTGCCGCCGCAACCCGTCCAGGTTCCAGCCCACGCGCTTGTGTACCTCTGCCATGTAGGGCTCCAGGCGTGCCCTCACCTCTTCCAACTCCTCCTGCAGCCGCTGCCACATGCCCGCCGGGTCGCGTGGGAGCCCGGGAGTCACCTTCCCCTGCCCACTCAGAGGGCCTAGCTTTTCCAGGAGCTTGTCAATATTGCTGAGGTCTTGCTCAAGGCTGTCTTTCAGCCTCCTGGGGAAGGGAACAGACATCCAGGCCATCAGACTGCTAGGCTCCATCGCCTCCTTTGCCCCAGAGACATTGCTCTGGGGAAAGCAAGGATGTGCAGCGGTGGCCCCAGAGCCTGGGCTCTAGTTCTAGTCCCGGGCTGACCACAACTTCTCACAGAGAAAGTACAAACATATGGCACATGCAAATCCTGATCACGACTGCCCAAAGAAGCACAGATGCACCTGGACTGTCACACACTCTTTTCATTCTGGGGGCCATGGTGGGGGTCCTCTCCGCTGCTCCCAGGTCCCACGCCTCAGTAGGCAAGGGGGCAGCAGCTATAGCGAGGTCAAGGCGGGGGCTGCTGCCGGCAGAGGGCGCTGAACAGCCCAGGACGGCCAGGATAGCGAGCAAAACTAGTACTGAGGACCACGTGGTAGAGGAATCAGAGGCAGCGCATCACCCACGGCCCGGCTGTCTCCTCCCTTCACCCGCTCCCTTTGCCCTGGCCACTCACGCGGGCTCCCGTGCCAGCTTCTGCTGCTGGATCTGCTCCACCCTGCCTTTGTCCCCGCTGCTCTGGCTGAAGTAGTCCCAGAAGCCCTTCTGTGCCTGGGCGCTTGCAAACGCTGTGGAGAGGGATGGGCGATCAGGAGCTGGGTTTCCTCCCTCTGGGTGGACGGGCCCCTCGGTCCAGCCTCCACCCACACCTCCACATTGAAGTCAGGATTGGAGACCCACCTAAGATGAGGGCCAGAGCCCAGGTCGGAACTGCAACAGTGCTTGCCATTGTCTGCTCTGGGAAGGAAGGCAAATGGAGGCCTGGTTAGGGTGAAGAAGCAAAGGAAGGGACACCTCCCAGGGGACTTGTCCAGGGGCAACCTGCCCCAAATCAGTTAACCCTTCCCTGGGGTGTAGGGAGCACAGAGCTGTTGGGGCTCAAAAGGACTGACAGAGGTGAGTGTGGCTGGGAGGGAAAGGGTGTCTTCCTCAGACTGTGTGTGTGTGTTGGGGGGTGTTCCTTTTTCACCTCAATCACATAATATGGAGTGTGGAGCTCCCATTGCTTTGTAAAGGTTCCTGCCATCACCACCCACCCCAGACCCCAGGAGCAGCCTCCTAGGGGCTTCTGCCACCACTCCCTCGCTCACCTATCTGCCTGCCTCCCATTTCATGGCTGGGAAAACTAAGGGATCCCGAGGGGGAAGGAGCGACTCTGCCAAGGTGCTCCAAGAGGATGTCCTTAGTTCCTAGTTCCCACCCCAGCTCTCTGCTGAGACCCCTGCAGTCCCCTCCCAGAGGACCCCGACACACATCCCTCTGCCCCAGCTGCTCACCTGCTGGGTTCTGGGCACAGAGAACAGACATTCCACTTTATACTCCAGGGGCCTGGGCCTCTGGCCACAATTGCTCTGAATAAACACCACGTGGAGGTTCAAAGAAGGATGACCTCAGCTGCCTCTCAGTGCTCACCTCCTGCCCTTTCCTGGCACCCAGAGGGTTAATGAGTGCCCTAGCATCAGGGGGCTGCTCCAGTAGAAACGTGCTTCTTGGAAGGTTTTACAAGGAATGGGGATTAACTTCTCACCCAGTTCCCCCTATACCCCATGACCTTTACCCTTCCCACTGATCACTGGCTGGCCCACCAATAGAGACAAGCCTGTTTGTCTGCTGAGGGCCACACTCTTACTCAACTGCTCAGAGGCACTGTGCCCAGCCTGACAGGGACAGTGTCCAGCTGCCAGCCTGAACTTGAGCAGCCCTTGACAGCTCCACCACAGGCTCCTCAGGCAGCCTGGGAAGAGCCAGCATTTATAGGGTTAAAGACCCTCCCACCTCCTCCATTATGAAATAATCCTGGAACAAGCAGGGGAAGTCAGATGGGGTGAAGATGAGATGGGGAGAGGCTTCTGGGCCAAGGACTCTGGGCCCAAAGAATTGGCGCAAGAGAAGTCCCCCATGGGGAAAGGCTGGCCTCCACCCACAGGGCCTCTGAGGAGGGGAAGCCGAAAAGCCCAGACCTTTCTCTGATGAAATGCCCATTCCATATACTTAAACACACACATTCATAAACTCCTGATTTTTGCTTCTAAATGTCTCATGAATCGATCCCCTCTCTGTTTCCACCACCGGTCCCATCACAGCCCACTAGTCTCTCACCTTGATGCATCCATAACCTCCAGCGGGGTGCTCTGCCACAGTCCTGCCTATTCAGTCCATCCTCTGCTGTGGCCCATCCCAACCCACTTCCAGTCTCATCTCCTGCCCCACAAAACTCCTGGCATTCCCTGAGCATACCACCTCTCTCAGGACCCTGAGCCTTTGTACTTGCTTCCCTCTGAAATATCCTAACCCTTGGTGAACTTATATTCATTTTTTTCAGACTTAGTTTGTATTAGTTAGGTTTAAGCTTAGCTGCAGGTGAGCTCCCCCCAAAAACTGGAGAAAGAGAATAGCTTAAACAAAATGGAATTGTATTTCTCTCTCATGTAAACATAGGCCAAGCAGGGTTCCTCCTGTCTTGTTGCACTACCATCCTCAACAAGAGGCTCATGTCCAAGTTTCAACTGCTCCAGTTCACCATCAAGTCTACCTCCCAGCCAGCAGGAAGAAGGAAAAGAGCATGTTCCCTCCCTTTAAAGACGTGTCCCAGAAATTGATCTGACCACTTTTACTGACGTCCCATTGGCGGGAACATAGTCACATGGCTATACTTAGCTGAAAAGAAGGCTGGGAAATGTAATCTTTATTCTGGATGGCTGTATTCCCAGCTGGAAAAGAACTATATCCCTCAGGAAGAAGAATGGATTTGGGGAAGACAATAGTAGGCTCTGCTGCACAGCTCCAATATCACTCTGAATGCCTTCTTCTGCCTTCACCCTTCTCTGTCCTGGAGACAGGCTGATTCCACAGTAGTCACAGAGCACTTTGTATATTCCTATATTACAGCACTTACTATCCTGCAGTACAATGATTTGTTGACATATCTGAGAGCTCTTTGAGTGCAGGGACTCTGTCTAATTCATCTCTATGTCCCCCATTATGTTTGGCACAGTGTATAATACATAGAAGATTGAGTGATTGAATTCATTCATTCAATTGATTAAGGAACTGAGGTTTGGGGATATTAAATGACTTATCCATCATTGCACAGCAAGAGGCGCAGCCAGAGTTGGAACCCAGGTGTTTAGTTCTGGTAGCTCAGGAGAGCAGGAGATGAGGCAGGAAGGGTAAGCAGACCATAACCAGGTCATGAAGGGCCTTGTGTGAGCAGTCACTGAAGGGTACATGACGGAAAGATCACTCTGGAGGGTGGCAGGATAGAAGGCAGAGAGACTGTCTAAGAGGCTATCTGAGTAATCCCAGGGATGATGAAGGCCTGAGTTAAGGCATGGCAGTGAGGATTGATAGGACAGAAAATACAGTATTTGAAGGATATTAAAGTAGTGAATTGATGGCACCTGGTGGCTGATTGGATGAGGGAGGTGGACGAGGAATCCAGATGATTCCTGGGTTTCTGGGCAAGAAGGTAGATGATTCCATGTTTCACCAAGTGGGGAGCATACTGAAGGAAGAGCAGGTTGACATGGGGAATGAGAGTTCAGTTTAACAGGAATCCTACTGTGAACCTAAGCAGGGTTTCAAACAAGCCTAGGGCAAGCCCAAGTGAGATCTATTTGCATAATGGCTGAAAAGCCTCCTAAGAGAAAATTCATTTGAAAAGAAAAAACCAACAGGAACTACAACCCAATCAAGAGACTATAGTCATGAGAGAAGTGTGGAGACAGTATCTGGGAAGGGTGTGTTTTCAGGAAATGAGACGACGGGAATGAGAGAGCCCTTCACATTTAGATCTGGGTTCTTATTTGTACTCACAGATTGGCATTGTCTTGTGCCTGAAGATCCCCCAGTGGAGACGTTAGGGCGGTTGGATGTAGATGCCCAGAGTTCAGGGGAGAAGTCTAGGTGGGAGACTGAATTTGGGGAGTCATCAGCCTGTAGTGGAAGTGGAAGACATAGGAGTGGATGACATCCCCCAGGGAGAGTGTGTGCAATGAGAAAAGAAAAGGACTGAGGTTAGATAACAGCATTTAAGGGAAATCTGAGGGGAAACGCCCTCCAGAGGAAGCCTCTGGCTGAGAAAATTAATAACCACCAAAGATCCATGTACCACCCCGCATTTTTCAGTCTTCTTTGCAATTAGGTTGGGGCCATGTGATTAATTTTGGCCAATGAGCTGTGAGCAGGAAAAAAGTAGGTCCCGTCTGGTCCAGGACAACTAAGAGTAGATGTGAGTTTTCCATACTTTCTCTTTCCTTTCTGTCAGGTGGAAACAAAGAACTACAAGATGACACAGTCATAGAAGGAGAGGATGGGTGTTCTGCGTTGGTGCATGGAGGAGCACCTCCCACCAGCCAGCATCACATTTTGCCTGAGTGAGAAATAGACGTTCATTGTGTTATGCCACTAAGATTTGGGGATTTATTTGTTATTGCTGTAGAGCCTAACTTATCGTGACTAATATAGAGTCTAAAAAAAGGGCAGCCAGAGAAGTAGAAGTATAATCAGAAGAGAGAAGAATCACAGAAAGCAAGTGTATTAGTTAAATTATATATTTGGCTGCTCCTAGAGAAACCCAAAATAACAGTGCTTACACGATAAGAAGCTTGTTTTTCTCCTGCATAAAAGTTCATGCTGGTATGGTAGCACTGCTCCAAAAGGCTGTCCAGGATCCCAAGCTCCTTCTGTCTTAAGGCTCTACCATCCCTATGTGCTAACTTTTGTCCAAATGATCCAAGATAGCTTAGCACCTAGTCCACATCCAGGCACTGGAAAGGGGAAAGTGGGGAGAAGAAAGTACTGTCCTCTCTTTTAAGGGCAAAGCCTTAGTTTCTTTTCCCCTCCATTGGTCAGAACTAGTCACAGTAACCGTAAGGGAGGCTGAGAGATGGTGTCTTTATTTTGAATGGCCGTAAGCCCAGTGCCCAGTTAAAAATCAGGTATTCTGCTTTCATACATTGCTGGTGGGAATGTAAAATGGTACCACTGCTTTGGAACACAGTTTGACATTCCCTCAAATGGTTAAACATGGAGTTACACTGTCACCTAGCAATTCCACTCCTAGGTACAAACCCAAGAGTGGTGAAAACATATGTTCACACAAAAACTTGTACATGAATGTCCACAGCAGCATTATTCATAATAGTCAAACAGTGGAAACAACCCAAATGTCCATCAACTGATGAATGGATAAACAAAATGTGGCATATCCATATAACAGAATATTATTTGGCAATAAAAAGGAATTATGCTTCATATGCTACGACATGGATGTCCATATGTTCATATGCTACAACATGGATGAACCTTGAAAACATTATGCTCAGTGAAAGACGCCAGTCGCAAAAGACCACATATTGTATGATTCCATTTATATGAAATGTCCACAAAAAGCAAATCTATAGAGACAAAGAAGATTATTGGTTGCCTAGGGCTGGGGAAGTATTGGGGAGAAATGAGGAATAACTGCTAATATGTATAGGGTTTCTTTTTGGGGTGCAAAAAATGTTCTAAACTTGGTTGTGGTGATAGTGGCACAAATCTGTGAATATATTTAAAACCATTGAATTGTAGTGAATTTTATGGTATGTGAATTGTGTCTCAACAAAGAGCTTTTAAAAATCAGGGGTTCTGTAACTGAGAAAGAGGGAAAGAACAGATATTTGGGGGTGACTTGCTGCCTCCGCCACACTGTGGAAGGGAAGATTTCAAGAGTGAGGAAAGAATGGCTTCCCACCGTGGCGTGTTGAGCTGAACTGAGGGCATATTTTCAATGCTTTTTTACCTCTACTTTTAAGGGCATTTCTGGCCACTTCACGCCCATTAGATTGGCTATTTTAAAAAACAAACAAATGAACAAATAGGACAGAAAATAACAAGTGCTGTAGGGATGTGGAGAACACTTGTGCATTGCTGGTGGGAAGTGAAAGGTGCTGTCACTGTGGAAAACAGCATGACGCTTCCTCAAAAAAAATCAAACACAGAGTTAATGCTCTGTGCTTATATGTGCTCATATGCTCCAGCAATTCCACTTCTGGGTATATACCCAGAAGAATTGAAAGCAGGGATTGGAACAGATATTTGTACACCGTGTTCATAGCAGCATTTACCACAATAGTCAAAAGGTGGAAACAACCCAAGTGTCTATCAACAGATGATTGGATTAAAAAAAATGTGGTATAGATATATAGATCTATAGATATAGACATAGATAGATACATA